AATCAGTGTTACTCATTCCCTTCAGCTCAGTGATTAGACAATCACTGCAGAGATTTAAGCAGAAAGCAAAGCCAAACTCCCCAGAAATAAGACAGCCGACACTACTTGGTGGAACAACAGGTAAGTGGCATTTACCTTATTCTATAGAACAGGGCAACAGTTTTTTCTTATTTCGTAAACGCCTTTTTGGTCTATTACTCTATTTATAGGAAGAAAAATGAACGACGTCCTCTTCTGCTGTCCTACACTATTCAAAAAGTTCTTCATAGTCATTTACCTTTGTTGTGCTTACAACTACTCCAGCTAGATGTGAGGTTTGTCCAAGAACAGGCCCAAAAAATTCTAAGTATAATCACAGAGCCATCTATCCTTCATTTGTCCGGCACTCACTGTTCAGCGTGGCAGCTCTGTAGGGGCCTGAACTCCCATGAAAGCCATACATTTACCTTGTAGTAGCATAAGGAACATTCTCTTTAGCTCTGTTACAGCACATCTAAGATACCCATGAACACCCACCTGGGCCAAACAGTCTGCAGTGAAAAGCGGGTCTGGCTGACTCCACAATCACCTCTCCAAAATGCAGACTCTGACAACTACTTTCTGTTCTTTGAACAAAACAGGTATTTTTCTCCAGCAGAGTTTTAGTTATCTTGTGAATATCTAGTCCTTGAACAAAAATAAGGAAAGGGCATGGACCACAAATAGCCAGAACTTATTTACAGATCAAAAGATAAAAATAACCTAGACTGTAAAAAGGCTAAGAGCAGCACATAGGTTATTTGTGTCCTGTGTTAACATGCAGGAGCCAAAATAAATAGTATTGCACCTTCTGATGTGCATCATCTGATTCCCTTTCCAGTACCGTCTCCCTCCAGTGAAAACCGTATTGTGACCACACACACTGCAGGAGCATATAGACCCAAGTACACCTCTCCCTCTCAGAAGCTGGTCTACAGCAGGCTTTGGGGACGCTAGTTCTATCAAACATAAGATAAGGTACAGCCCCCACAACAAATTCAACTCATAAGGGTATGGTGAACCATAATCTCTCATTTAGCTTTGTCACTCTAGTGAAGGGGCTGTCAGAAAGCTTCAAAGACAACAATGAACATAATAGAACAGGTCAGAGAGGAATGAGTCAGAGACTTTTACTGCTTGAGGAATCTTGATATTCAAGGAGATCCTCCTGCCAGCCCTCTCTCTCCCAGTCTGCAGCACTGATCTATCACTTCAGAAACGTATCCCACTAATCCATCTTTGGCCCTGAAGTCACGGCATATTCCACAGTCCTAAAGGGTAGATCTTCAAGATACTTGGACCCAAGCTACGTTCTGCTACTGAGCTGACTGAACAGCAACAAAATAAAACAAAACAATGACAAAAACCCCTGCAGGTCTTGAATGGAAGCAGGAAAGGAAGAACAGATAACATAAAAGCTTCTGAATTTTCAAATTATAACAGAAAGCCTTATTTGCAGCTCACATGTAGAACAGTATGCTTTCTCAGACGTCTGTAAAGGTGTATAGACCTGGCAGTCTTCCTGAGTAGAAGCCGAACACAAAAAATTTCCAGTAGAGAAGAAACTCTCAATACAGGGGAACCGGTGGGTTACAGCACAACCCAGGGAACCTGACTTGCAGAAACAAAGGCAAAGGCCACTGTCCCAAAAGTAAAGTTCAAGCATCCTGATAGTAGGTTACTCCCTACTACTGAACTTCTGTGGAAATCTGAGGGGAAGAGCGTATCTGGCTCCTAAGCTGGCCATTACGGATAGTAGCGAAGTTAAAGAGAAGCTAGGGGACCTCCAAGAACTACCAGATACTAGGGAGTGAAAACAAGAATACCATATAAAGTGGGACATTTGTTTTGCCTGACTATGCTCCATAAAATCAGTATATTCTCTTACTTTAAAGAGTCTTGGGAAGACATCTGTTGGCTGCCCTCGTACCACAAACAAGCGGGAACTGAGTTTCCTTAAACTGTTGTCCAGGTCTTCCAGGGACTGGAGTAGAAACCTGCAGAGAAGAAACAAGAGCAGTTCATGTCGGTCAGATTGGTTACCGCTAAAAGACAAATGAGCAGGATTTACATGGAAATCCAATTAACCTGCACCACCAATCAGTTCTCCAAACAAAAGGTAAAGGACAAGAAATGTAGAAAATAAAAGTTATTCTTCATCCCTGGTCTGTCTACTAACTGTTAAGACTTTGCAGCACCAGCCAGTCCCCAACCATTCACATGCATGTTCTGCTTAGCCAAATGAGAGAGCTCTCCAGGATTTTCTTCTTGCAGTCCCTACCCTTCCTGTGTTTTCTCTCAGAGCTGATACCCCCCCTGTCAGCGGGTCTCTCCACGTGGCAGCCATACTTAGAGAACAGTTGCAAACAGAACGGCAATTTATCTTCCATCACGCAGATGAGAGCACGCTAAGATATTTATCTGCTCCCTACTAGCCCAAAGCTGTCAAAAAGCATTTAAGTACTTTATTAACAATATGTCTTCCTGATCCCACACCATGCCGTACGACTTCAAATATATCGTCTTTGCTTTCACAGTATACCAGCGTAACTCTATCTGCATCATCACTTGGCTTCCTTTGTTTTGCCCAAAACTATGAATGATGCCAGCCTTAACTGAACTTTAATCTCTGCAAGAGCATGCGGCAGTGCGTGCAAATCCAGAACCCTTCCTAAGGGAGTCTGCAACCTCTCCCTCTCCCCTACATACTGGCTCTGCAGCCTGACCTGTAAGACAGGAGTATCTGCAGTACCAACTCAAGACCATGCAAAGTTAAGAGGAAAACTAAGCTACAGTTGTCTTGCAGTCTGGGTACTTCCTCTCTGCTCAGCTGCGTTGCTCATAACGTGAATTGCAAGCTTTGTGACAGACAAAGCTCTCTCTGCACTTCCTGAAGGAGAAAGGGACTAAGGTTTCAAGGAAGCAGCACAGTAGTGAAGACCCAGAACCAGGTCTGGGTAATCAAAACAAACCACTCCCCTACCCCCCACTCAGTATTCATCTGTTAAATAGCAATACTGCCTTTCTCTCCACAGCGCTCTGGAAATTGAGCAAGCGTTGCTATTATTTAGCTCACCCATATGCTGTGCGGTTAAGCGACAGGTAATTTTTCAACACGATAAATTTCTGGAAGTTAGGTAAAACACAAACACTTGCCTTTGGAGCTCAGACCTCTGAATACCAATTGCAGAATTAAAAAAAAATAGCAAAACAAAGCCAAGGCTCCTCTGGGAAACAACGGAGCTCCAGTAAATATAACTAACGTATTTACCCAGCACATTTTTGCCTAACAGCCAGGGGTGCTAGCTTCTGATGCTATTTGCAAAAAGCATACACCTCCAAGAAGACACTTAAAAAATATATATATATAGACATATATACACACGCTTGCATATTTCATGACTGCAACACCAATAAGACCGCTAACTGCTTTTCCACCAGCATCGCGGAGGGAGGGAAGCAAGGACTACACGCAGCAGGGACGCGCCAAGCCTTTGGCGCGCCGCTGTGCTTCCCGCACGCGAGCCCGGCGCCAGCAGGGC